CCACTATGTCCTGTCCGTCTTGGGTGTCCCTGCACGGCATAGCCCATAGCTTCTCTGAGTTACTCAAGCCCCTTTGCCACAACAAGGCAGCAATCCATGAAGGGGAATAATTAATTAATTAATACTAATTAATAGTTAATTAATTAATTATGTGCCATCAAGTCAATTCAGACTTATGCCAGCCCTTCTCAGGGTTCTGAAGGTATGCTGTACTCAAATTATCAGTTCCCTTTTTCCAAATGTTCTGGGACCATGCCAGTAACCCATCAGCCACACACACTCCATGGCAGTCATTTCCAATCTTAGGTAAGCCAGATGTCCTTCGGCTGTACAACCCAGAAGCCTTCACCGCCATTTGTCATTTCTGGGAATTGCAGTCCAAGAATATCTGGCTTACATAAGGTTTAGAACCACTGCTCCAGGTGATTTCAGCAGGTCTCTCTTCTGAGACAAAGAAGTGAGAATTGAACTCCTGGCCCCTTGCTCTGCAGCCAGATGCTTCAACCTTCTGAACAATATAACCTAAGTGCTTGTCTTTTTTTCTTCTAAAAAAAATTTAAATGTATTGTTCTTTTAAAACACTTTAGGATCCAGCGCAGTCTTCTGGTTTTCATCCTGTAGGGTCTGTAGTTGCAGTAGGAACATTAACTGGAAGGTAAGAATCAGTAAAAATAAAAATGTTGCTGTGGACAATATTTATATCATGTTACATTTTTGTAGTTTTAAAAACAAGGCCAAAATACTCTTGCATAGTCATGCTGGCTTAATATAAATGGCATAACATTTAGAGGTGAATTGTCTCAGGTTAAAAAATTGCCATCAACATCATCCGTTGGGTGCTGCATTATTAGTTGGGTACTAAGTCACATGACTCGACACACAACAGATAATGTCCATGGCGATTTTTCAAATTAGGAGCAATTTGGCTGCAAAAGTTATAGTGGTTCCTTTACCCCAACGTAACTGCAGAAAAGGGGTTTGGCTATAAATACATATATTTGTTTAAACCTTTTAAGGCCTTAAACCTGGCTACCTACTTTTATGAGCCTGGCTGGACATTAAGGTCTTAAGGAGAGGCCCTCTTAACATTTTTGCAGAAACCTCAACAAACACACGTGAGAGGGCCTTTTCTCCTATATGGTTATCACACTGTGGAGCCCACTCCTTTCAACTGCAGTCAGATTCTGACTGATTTTCTGAAAGGTGCAGAAGCACATCTTTTTAGACTAGTACATGATGTTAATCTACCCTGCTGTGTTGTGTTTAACAGCACACTGAAGTTAATTTTTTTTCATTCGAGTTGTTTTTACTTTTATGATTTAACACTTAAGTTTGTTTTTACTTGCTTCTAAGATTTTATACTTATATTTGCTTTTACTTGTTTTTAGTCTTTTAAAGAGATTGCAGGTTTTGCCTCTGGGCATTACTTTCTATGGAAAAGTGGGGTTTAAATGTGATAAATAAATAAATTGATGGGGGGTTGCCAGATTTTTTACTGTGTGGATGTGAAACTAAAAGAACAATTTTATACATGATTATCCACAAGTAAATGCCATTGAGTGCAGTGGACCATTTTTTCCTGTAAAGTAGCTAGAGAATTTGACTATAATGAGGGGTGATTTTGTTAGAAGGCAAAAATAGCCCTCATGCAGTTGCTCGGGAACTGCACACTCAATTTTTTTTTTTTTAAAAAAATCTGTGCCCATTGGTTATGTTATAGTGTTGAAGTTCCTGAGACATATCCCAGAAAGGAAAACAATGTAAAGGACAGGAGAAAAAGGCCAGGACAAATTTACTACTATTCCTGCCTCACCTCTGCAATAGATGTTGTCCAAAAGGCAGGTTGGGTGCAGTCAAAGTTAAAGAAATATCACACATAACAAACACACACAATTACAAGTGCCAACCAAGTGTATTTTGGACATCAGGAATAGAGATGGGGGTATTCATATTCGTATACGGATATCCCCGCACAGGTGGAAATAACAAGGTGCCGGACTGTCTGCTCACAATTTTGCTGCTGCCGCCAGCTCCACAGAGGCTTCCTATTTTGATGTTGTCCGCAATCAATTACCCAGTCCTGGCAGGAGGCAGGATGACAAGCCTCTCTGCTAGTTTGGAGAGTGGCTAATCCATTGCAGAAAATAGCGCAATAGGAAGCCTCCGCGGCTACAGTGGCAGTGGTGAAATCGTGAATGGACACTCCAATCCCATGGGACTGGACCCTCATTATTTCCACCTGTGCGGGGATATTTGTATTTGTATATAAATACAAATACCCCCATCTCTAGTCAGGAATAAACTTTATACAACAGCAGCTTTATATGGGAAATCCTGGTAGTTTCAGGTGGTGGGAAGATTCTCAGATTGGCAGGCATTAGGCACAAGGGATCAAGGGGTCAAGTATAATGAATTGTGAATATCCAGCATTCCTAACACACAGTAATATTTACACAGTAATGACACAGCTGTTAAATTATTTTATTTTAACAACATTGCAATTAAAAAACTGACAACTCTTCTTTTTCATCCACTGTTGAAAATTTGTTGCAGCCAAATTCATCTCTTCTTTAGTGTTCTCATCATTTTACAGAAGAAGACGGCTGAATTTTGTTTAGTAAAACCAGGATGTACAGAGCGTTTCTTATAGTCATCGAACTGGCCATGGTATTGGGTGTGGATGGAATTGTGGTCTAGAAAAATACGTAACTTTTTCAAGCTCTGGTTCAAAGACAGTATGATACTGTATATCCAGTTGCTGGCAAGCAAGAATAGGAGGCCTTCAGATCCTGTATGTGGCTTCTCAGATGCATGTGTTTTGCCTCTGTAGGAAGATGTTGAACAGGATGGGATTTTGGATCTGATTCAGCCTACTTGTGTTCTTAAGCTGGGACTCTCCCCAACCCTTCCACACCAAATGCATTGTTGACTTTTCCTTCCAATGTTTTCAACAGGTGGTTTGTGTTTGACACTGAAACAAAGGATTTGGTCACTGTACACACAGATGGAAATGAACAGCTGTCCACAATGCGTTACTCACCAGGTTTGGCACCGTTTGTTTAGTTGTTCAAACAGAAAGAATGCTTTTAAAATGTATCTGTTGATCTCCAATCTTCAGAGTCTTACATTTCATGCTGATGTTGTTTAGTATATTTAATTATGGGAAACAGAAGAGTGCAACAGCTACTAGATTTTTAAATATTTTGTTGTTTATAGAAAGTTTGGAACCTAAGCATATATCTCAGTGGATCAGCTAAACTTGAAATATGGCTCCCTTAGTTTTATCTTGCCAGTTGCTGCCTTACATGACCACACTGTAATGTCACAAAGCCATTATGCAATGACTTTCGCCAGTTCATTTGGCTTTGGTATGCTGCCTGGATATAGATGAGGTAGTGGCAGATATGGAAGTTCAGATGCTCTTAACAGTCCCCATAATCAGTTCTCCACAGGAGAGACAAAAACACAGGCAGCTGGATTGGTCAATAACAATACACCAAGAGCAGGTATTTTATAAAGTTAATGGCTCTTAGCTGCCCCTTCAAGACCAAATCACCTTCAAAAACAATTGCAATAGATTGCAATCCATTTGTTTCCCAACAATTGTGAGGAAGGCATCTAAACTCTGAGGGATGTGTGTAGATAGATAATCCCTATTAATACAAACATTCTGGGGCTTCCATCCTGTGAGCCTTGGCTCCACTCTGTGCCATGCTAACAAGGAATTTAAGAGTTGTTGTCTGAAATAGTAAGTTTTTCCAAGTGCTGAAACTGGCATCTTGCCAGCATAGTGCTGAGCCAGTAGAAACTCAGTTAGCAGCTGAGCGCCAGCAACCACAGGGCCTAGATACTGTGCAGCAAACCTACATCACTGTTGTGATACTGTGTCTTGCTATGCTTCCATTTGTAAGAGAAGTATTAGGGATGCTGCACCATGTTTGAGCCATACCCTTGATGAGGCTGAAGACTACCTGAACAAGGAGATTGGAAAGGTGATCTAAATAGAACATAAGCAGAAGATCATAGCCAGGAGGATAGGGAACTAAATCTGCTAAGGAAAAGTAAAGAATCAGACATTTTTATATTTCCCTGTATCTTGAAATGTGTATAACTGGGTATAAGGTATACTATTTGTTTGTTTTATATTCCACCTTTTTATTATCAGAAGGTTAAAATTTACTGTGCCTAATGGCACTGATAGGACATTCTAAGCAGCAAATATGAAAGCAAAACATGTGCAAAACATGTCAAGACCCACAATTAAATTAAATATGTCAAATAGTTAACATCAGGAAATAATTCATTAAAAAGCTGGAACCACAATAACCATTTAGCTTGCTACTCAAAAGTCTATTCAAAGTGTCCTAAAGAGAGATCAGAGCAGTTAGCACTGAAATGATGCTGTTCTTTATAGCTGTTTAAGGTAAACTCAGATGGCTCTAATGCCTAGAACAACGTCTTCTCAAATGACTTACAGTTAAGGAGAAATTCATATAGGAGGAGGGGACAGCCTTTGGAATTTGGCCAATATGATGTTGTTGTTGTTTTTTGTTTGTTTTTTGCCATCTGGAAATGTTTTTAAAGGGGAGAAATATCTCACTGCTTAATTTTAATGTTTTATACTTTTTGGCCATGATGCATCACTGGTTCATATGTCAGTAGGACTGCAACCTTATGATTACATATATGTGTATTCTCTATTTGTTTTGCAGATGGCAATTTCTTGGCAATAGGTTCTCATGATAATTGCATTTATATATACAGTGTTAATGACAATGGGAGGAAATACAGTAGAATTGGCAAATGCTCAGTAAGTAATTGCTTTATTGCTTGTTTAAATCGTTGTGAAATGCATAGGTGGCCTTACCTCTATGTACATTGATTTTCAAGGAACATGGAAAACTAAAGTGGGGAAAGGAAATAAAATTGTTAAATCCAGTTTTTATCATGTTACTGCTGCCATAGTAATACAAATTGGATTTAACTGTTAATATCCATGAATATTCAAGACACACAACATTTTAAAACAATTTGTAAGTCATCCTTTAAAATTAAAAATATTCTATTCCACCACCACTAAAGGTAAAGGCTCCCCTTGACAATTTGTCCAGTCGTGTCCAACTCTAGGGGGCAGTGTTCATCTCCGTTTCCAACCCATAGAACTATTGTTTGTCCGAAGACAATCTTCTGTGGTCACATGCCCAGCGGGACTAGACACGAAACACCCTTTCTTCCCACCATGGTGGTACCTATTTATTAGCATTTTTTGCATTTTGCATGCTTTTGAACCACTACGTTGGCGGGAGCTGGACAAGCGACAGGGGCTTACTCCGTCCTGTGGATTCGATTTTGCAACTGCAGGTCTTCTGACCTTGCAGCACAGAGGTTTCTGCTGTTTAACCTGCAGTGCCACCACTAAAGCTCTGTACAAATGAAAACTGTTTCCGGAAATGGTTATGGTCTATCTTCAGCAGTTTTTTTCCTCCTTATCACATGGTCTCTCTTTCTGTCTTTTAAATGTTGTGGACAGACTTGTATCTTTGTTTTTTTTACTTAATTTAATAGTGTGGCCCAATCTGATCCTGGTAGGATTGTGAAAGCATATAAAATACTAAACTAGATTTTTTCCAGTGCTTGGATCTCTGGCCATCCCCAACAGCTTTTCATTCCCCCCCCCACTTCATTTTTTAATACAGTTTGTGCATCCTAAGTGTAGGTAGACACACACCACAATTTTCTACCACACTGAAGAGCCTTGGTATTTGGACTGGAGCGTGCAGTTCCAAGGTAGTGACCTGAGATGCTGCCAACCCACTGCTTATAAATGTAAATTAGGCTTCAGTGTACCTTTCAGTGTAGCTTTTTATATGTACTAGTCATTCTGTTGGTGGTTGTTATGTTGTTGGAATTAATATAATGCATCTCTTCATAGGGTCATTCCAGCTTCATTACTCACTTGGACTGGTCTGCTAATTCTCAGTACCTTGTGTCTAATTCAGGGGACTATGAAATCTTATACTGTGAGTAACAACTAGTATTCTGTCCTTGGTACGGAGTTCATTCTTAGCTACCAATGTATTTCTAATATGAATAACAAACCATTACAGAAAAAAGACGTACTGTATTATTTAATCTATGTATAGCACAGTCTTATATAGGGCAACTCAGAAGTAAGTCCCATTCAGTTCAGTAGGTCTGTATAGGAATAGAGTTTAAATTCAATTTAATTCTCATTCAACTTTATAGCATTCATGCCGGTGCTCTGTTTCTCTCTCTCTCTCTCCCATTCTCCCCTACCTTTTACAGGGATTCCTTCAGCTTGTAAACAGGTAGTAAGTGTGGAAACCACTAGAGATATAGAATGGGCTACTTACACCTGTACTTTAGGATTCCATGTTTTTGGTAAGTGTGCCATGTTCCTCATAAACTGTCCATACTACTTCGTTAGCAAAACAGCTTTTAATTTTCATCACTTCACTGTCTCTTGTTCTGAATCTCAAGGGTATGCTGTGTAATACATGAAAACATTTGTGGCACCTTAAAGACCCTCAAGGTTTACTTAGCATAAAATTTTGTGTATTTTAAAGATCAAAAATATCCTTGAAACAATGATCTGTATCTAAGCATGTGTAGTGTGATCCCTTTTTCAATTCTAGCACAAGGCTAGAAGTGACATATGCTATGCTAAATGCCACAGTTTCAGACAAGACACGAAATGGGCAAGTGGTAGATGAGTGTGGGTTTGATTACTAGGTCGGGATGTTTAATACAGATTATTAAAGAAATTGTTCCTCCACATTTCAGGTGTGTGGCCAGAAGGTTCAGATGGCACAGATATTAATGCTGTTTGTCGCTCCCATGGGAAGAAATTGTTATCAACTGGTGATGACTTTGGGAAAGTACATCTCTTCTCGTATCCATGTTCACAGTTTAGGGTAAGGCAATAGCTACATTTGAGAATACTCTTTCAGTGTTGAAAGGGATGGTTTCATAAACAGCTCTCAATTCTAAGATTCTTGATCATTTATCCGAGCTTTTACTGCTGTTAGGAATTTTAATAGAGCTTTGAAATAACAACTTACAGCAATATTATAATTAAACATTAACACTAATCAAAATAAGTAAAAGCAAAAGAGAAATAAAAAGTAAAAAAAGACAAAAGCATGGTGACACCTTAAAGACTAACTTTTATTTTTTTTTTAATTTGAACTTTTGTGGACATCGGACATAATTACTGATAAATTCAATTTTATTATTTCATTTTTAATTTAAATTAAAGGTTATTATTATTATGAGTTTCCACTTCTAGACCTATATTCAGTGAACACATATAGTGGTCTGTATAGGTCTGCACATTAGAATTTTAAAAAACATTCACACATTATAATTCTGTGAAATACTATTTCAATGAAATATTAAAGAAGTGTGCCACACAGTCATTCTACACAGCAGATTATGTGAAAAATAGTAGCAGAAATACTTGGAGCATAATCTTACACACATTTACTTTGAAGCAAAACCTATTAAAAATTGTCAACAAAAAAATAACTATCCCAAAGTCTACTGAGCCATTTAAGATTTACAAATCCTTTGTCAAGAGCTTCCAGAAGCTCTTGTCCACATAGCAGGCATAACTTTTAAAAGATTCTTCTCTCTGGATAAGTCTTTGTGCCATTGGTTACCAAGGGTGTGCACAGAGACACAGCGCAGTATGTGGATTTCTCTGATGCAGAGGGTAAGGTGTTTTGAGATGTTATGCCCATTGCTTGGAGCACTGCTGGGGAAAGGCCTTTAATTCAGGACAGTCAAACTCATAGCAATCCAATTCTGAAAGAACTGAATTAACTGATAACAGTGGTGCCTCGACTTATGACCATAATCCGTTCCAGAAGATGGACGTAACTCGAAATGGTCATAAGTCGAAGCACCATTTCCTATTGAAATGCACTGTAATGTGATTAATCTGTTCTGGCCCAAAAATTAAAAATCAATTTTAAAAAAAAAAACCACACAGCAAGCCCCATCGGAAGGCACTGGGGCTTTAAAAAAATAAGCAGCAAAGTATGCCCCAAAGGTGCTAGGGCTGCCAAAAAGAACCCAACCCCCAAACCAAAAATAAACAGCAAAGCAAGCCCCGAAGGCACTGGGGCTGCAAAAAACAAAACAACACAGCACAGCACAGAAACGTACCCCCCAGCCCAAACCCTCCCTGCAAAACCCACCCAGAACAGTTTTTAAAAAGTAGAAAGCAGCACCTTACCTTACCAGGCAATCCAAAGCCTTTTCCAATCTCACTCACTCTAACCGTTGGGGCGAAAGAGCTACAAAGAAGCAGCCTCTTTGCCTACCAATGGCTAGCAAATTTGAATCCCCCGCCTTTTTGCCCTGCCTTTTTTCCAGTCGCAAGTCGAAGCAAAATTTTGCAGCCGGAGCTGGTCATAACTCAAAATGGTTGTAAGTTGGGACGTTCGTAAGTTGAGGCACCACTGTATTTGTTTTCTCTAACAAATAAGTGGTACTGCTTGTAAATGTCTTGCCAATTTAAAGGAAGACACTGTTCCATCTGCACTTATTGTTTTCTAGACATAAACTATTATTGGCCAAAACCTTGTTGTGGAGTTATGCTGGTGGAAAGACAGTGACATAACTTGCCATACCAAATTGACATTAATTAACAACACACTGGTTGGATTCCTCATTGAACACCAGTTGGGTGGTTTGGCATGCGACCAGGAATCCAGGTGCTCACTCCCAACTAATTGCAGTTTGTTACTGCGAGATATGGCATTACGCTTCTGAGTATAACTCCATAACAGGATTTTGGCCACCTTGTTAGGAAACTAATTTAGTAGTGATTTAATACAGTGGCTACAATCCAGAAGCTTGAAGGTGATTACTTCGAAAAGTGGTATGTGTGATCTCATTCATGAGTCTATGGAGTCTACTATTCCTTTAGAAAATAAAAGTGCAGAAAACTCCACTGTGGCCTTACATATAGGTAAACAGGCTCAGTGGCTTATAGTCATTATAAAATGGCACAGTAAATGAAAATGTGAGATTGGCTGGATAAGTTCGGTGGGTTGATGCACCTGCTCTGGAGTTAGGAATCAGGAGTTTGATTCCCTACTCTACTTCATAGGAGAACAGTCAGCCTGTGCAGCCTCAGGCAAGGTTTATAGTCATTATAAAATGGCACCCTAAATGAAAATGTGAGATTGGCTGGATAAGTTCGGTGGGTTGATGCACCTGCTCTGGAGTTAGGAATCAGGAGTTTGATTCCCTACTCTACTTCATAGGAGAACAGTCAGTTTGTGCAGCCTCAGGCAAGCAGAAATAATCCCAGATTATTATTAAGTTGCACTGAGACTATGTTGACAACACAGTAGTCGTGGTTAAACGCAGAGGGCCATTTATATATTCTAGATGTAAAATGCAATAATATACTGCAGTGCATTCCATATACCGTATTTTTTGCACCATAAGAACAAAATCTAACAATTTTGTGAAAAATGGCAATGCGCAGACTACTTGTTTGTGCCATCTACCAACGGATCTTTCATTAGTGATAAGCAGATGAAGCCCCTGCTTTTGTTATGACAATGACTTTGTCTTTTGGAGCACCACAATGTTATTTCTTTTTTGCCTGACTGTAACTGACAACATTGATTTTCATAACAGCTCTCATTACCAATGTACATGCTTCAGTTATTGATGATACTCTATTTATTGATTGTCTTTCAGGCTCCAAGTCACATGTATGGTGGGCACAGTAGTCATGTAACCAATGTAGATTTTCTATATGAAGATACTCATCTCATCTCTACAGGAGGAAAAGACACCAGTATTATGCAGTGGCGAGTCATTTAGAGGAGACTTTGTATGAACATGTGTAACCAAGAGCTGGCTATTCACCAACATTGTGTAAAAATTGTATTTAAGATTTAACAGTATGGTTTCCGTCTAGCCTAGTCACTGTGATTTATAAGTTTAAAATCCTTGCAGACCTCAGGAAAGCTATGTCTTTGGCTGGCTACCGTACTTATTTCAGTAATTCTTTGAGCATCACTTTAAAACAACAGCAGTTTTCTCCCCTCTTTTTTTCCCTCTTTGTTGTACAACATACAAAACAGCACAGGTTTAAAATGAAGACACGGATTACACAGTTGAACAGATATTTTCTATTAAATAATTACTTTAAAAACTATTCTACTACTACATATATGTGCTTCACAGTTTCGTTATTTACACCTTATACTGTCTAGCTACATAGTTAGAATATCTATTGTTGCAAAAGTTATGGTACTTTCATTTCTAGTGAAAAGGGAAAAATGGATATTGGAAGTTTGACTCATGCTGGACAGTATCAAATCAATAAGCTGCTGAACTGTTCTGCAACGTTCACTTTGAAGGTGCTTCCATATACAGTATTCGCCATGTGGAATGAAGTAGACATTTTACACAGCAACAGTTGTAGAGCTTCTCCCACACCACAGAACTTATTTAAATAAGAAAATGTGAATGTTAGAATATATATTAACATATTTTTTTCTTCTGGCATAGCAAACTTTAAAGTGAAGAGGACACAATCCAGCAAAATGTACTTGCTAATTCATTTCCATACAACAGCCTGTAACGGTACTCAGTTTCAATTAACTTTATTCTACTGATTTCGGTGGAATTAACAGTTGCTGGATAGTGCCGAGATTTATATTCCTTTTAAAATGAAGCAGCAGGTTGTACCCCAGTTTTAACTTGAATATCTCAGCAGGGATTACTTCTTCAGGTAACCTGATTCCAGATGTCTTGCTTTTTTTTTTAACAAGTATATGATCAGTTTCTTATTTCAAAATAAATAACCAGCCTGATCACATCTCAATTGTTCAGTTGACAGAGTAAACCAATCTGGATATCAATCAGCATGAATATTACTACCTTATATACATGTGTACAATTTTTGGAAATTTGTATGAAATAGTAAAGCATTCTAAGCTTTACTTGTGTATTGCTTATGGATATTGTATATTCGTATTTCAAGGCCAAGAAGACTATGTACAAAGAGAGCTCTGAGTGTACCATAAATCTGCAGGGGAGATGGCGAAGTGAACATATATGAACCATTAAGAGAGCCAGCAGCACTCTATAAGCAACCCAGTGATATTTTGTGGCTGTAGTATTTTTAGCAGTAGCAATCAAGCAGGATGCTGTTAAAGAGATGTGTGTCCCAGGATCTCTGACAATGTTGCAGAAGATCTGGTGCTGGATTGTGTGATGCAGCCACTTCAAACAGCAAAAGGCTGGGGTGACCTACATGTTAATAAATAACTTCCTCCACCACCACCCCTTTCTGTGGGTTTTGCATGGACCGATATTTGTAGTACAAAAGACTACTGTGTTTTGCATTGAAGTAAAAAGTGGAGGTGGCATAGGAGTTCAGAAGGCCTTATACATTTTGATTGTGACACAGACTGAAAATTGTTGTTTACATTGGAGAATGTACCTAAAGATTTTAAAAGAACAGAGTTATAAACAGGTCTGAAAATTTGAATGGTGTTTTTTTTTCATAGTGGACAAAAACATGCAAATTAATCAAACTTTGAAGCATGGGTTGTCTGAGTTCTTTCAATGGATATTTGAAAAACTTCAAGGCTTTTTAAAAGCATCTCCAACCCATTACACCGAAAGAGCAGGCTACGAATAAACATCATGTATCAAGGTGAATTGTTCTGATTTCTGTTATCTTTATATAATTCAATATGCATTAAATTCAATACTAAAGTTTTTGTATGCTTCTGGATAAAAGTAAAACATCCTAAAGCAACTTCAGTACACCGGGTTGACTATAACCCTTCCCCTTTTATGTATATGTATATGTTCAAATGAAGTAAAATCAAATGCTCATTGCTGGACTCTTGTCTGTTCTACTTTTCTGTAGTCAATGTTGTTTTTGTTATGCGCTGTCAAGTTGGAACCGACTTATAGGGACCTTAATAGGGCTTTCAAGGTAAGTTTGGCGGCGGACGAAATTGGCAATTACAGGCCCGTCGCCAATGTTTCTTTCCTTAGCAAGGTAGTCGAGAGGGTGGTGGCCGACCAGCTTCAGGCGCTCCTGGATGAAACAGATGCCCTGGATCCATTCCAGTCGGGCGAACCCAGGCTTCCTGAGTCCTAGTCCATCATTCTATCCTCTGCAGTGCACCAGGGCACCACTAAACTCAGCTAGCAGCACAGCAGAATTTTCTGTCTGTTTCTTTGCCGAGCTGGCACTGCTGCTGCTCTTCAAGCTCCAGTTCCGGATCCTTCGTACTTCTTTGTTTCTTGTGCCAACTCTCACTGTTCCTCCTGCTCTGCCGCCACTGCCACTGTTCAAGGCATCCGCCAATCAGAAAAGTCTGGAACCCCTGCCATACTGGGTATCCAATTTACTGTATAGAAATTATAACATAGACTTTATTTGTGACTGGTAGCCAAGAATTTGAAGAAACATGTAGAAAAAACTGCAGCAAAACACCAAGAACAAATAGTTTTTAAAGTGGTTGTTGTGGGTTTTTCGGGCTCTTTGGCCGTGTTCTGAATGTTATGTTGTTTGGCCTACAACTCCTGTGAGCCCCTACCATTGTGGCCAGGGTAGGCAGGCTAGCCCTACATTAGGTCCAATGAGGCAGTAACCTTGTATGGTATCCTTCTGAATGTGACAGATCTGACATTCTGCCTCTACACCACCATAAGAGGGGCCATGGTGACCTTTCCATCTGTTGTGTCTTTTGTTGCAGTCAATAAACAATAGTCATACTCAGCCAACAAACCAAGCACTTTTTACCCTTGCACAACAGGAAGGAACTGTGTGCTCCAGCACATGAGGCATCATAATCTCTGCACCTGTCTGTCATAGGGTAAAGCAGCAGAAGGAGATGGCATGTTGAAAACCAAAGGCAAGCCTACTGGCATAGTTGCCAGAGGAGGGAAGGAAGAGTAGGGCATGACAGCCACTACATGCGTCCAGAAACTGGCTGTTTCAGTCATCCAGGGGATAAAAATGTTAGAACTAACCAGGTTTGGGGACCATGTGATGGGCAGTAAGCAACAGCTGCCGCTGTCCCAAGAACTGCCTGGAGAGTTGCTTACAGCTACCATGTGGGTTTTTGTCTAATTAGGCAGCCATGATGGCAGAGGAGCTGAAGAAAGAGCAAGACACCAGTGCCCACCTGGAAAGGATGAAGAAGAACCTGGAGCAGACCGTGAAGGACCTGCAGCACCGTCTGGATGAGGCAGAGCAGTTGGCACTAAGAGGTGGCAAGAAGCAACTACAGAAATTGGAAGCCAGGGTAGGTATGCCGACTCGGTGGGGGGAGCATTCAACTAACTATATTGCCTAAAACTCTGGAGAAAGGCGCGGATTTTGACATCTTACTAATATTAAATGACATATTTTCAAAAATTGGGCCTCCACAACTGATTTGTTTTTCCCAGCCACAGGGCACTATAATAATTTTCCAGAGATACATTGGTTATAGTTTGATCTCTTTATTAGAACAATCTGTTTAGGTCCATGAGTTGGAAAATGAACTTGATGCTGAACAGAAACGAGGAGTTGAGGCTATCAAAGGAGTGAGAAAATATGAGCGGAGGCTGAAAGAAATAACTTACCAGGTAATACTATCTTCTCATATTTATTTCTTCTTGCATTTATTTCTGGGATTTATTTTCCTACCATGACTTATAATCCTGTTGGAGGTTGGAAGGCAGAAGACCTTCAACAAAAGGGAGATGCTTAGTTTTTCTGCCTTTGGCTCTCTGGAGGATAATCACCCTCCCAAGTCACAACTGTTAGATCCTTGCAGTGCGGGTAGTGTGTGCATTTCCTTTACATTCCATGTAGGCTGAAGAAGATAAGAAAAATGTTTTCAGACTCCAAGACCTGGTGGACAAGCTGCAGCTGAAAGTGAAAGCGTATAAGAGACAAGCCGAGGAGGCTGTAAGTGCCCAGATCTCAAATATTCCCTGTCAGGCTTAAACTTTGATTGTCTAAATGAGCAGAGAACAGTAAAGAATTCCCAGAACTTTGAATTATTTGTATGCTGTCACCTTTGTGAGCAGTACCAATATAAACTGTGAGATATTTTCACCCCTAGTCCCACACTCTTGCAGTTAGAAAGAAGACTGCCAGAAAAAAACTTTTGTAATTATCTAATTGGAAATGGCCTATTTCTGCCACTTCACTCACATAAAATACTGCAGTGTTTAAATGCTCAACTTTATGCTTTAAAGTTTACTTTGATTCATACTTCTGAAATCCCAGGTTTCAAAAGGAATAAAACCTTCCTTTTGCTTCTCTGCACATCACAACTAGAAGTGTTTTCAGCTTTTAATCTGATTGCTTAATTAGTAACAAGTATTATTTATACTTTTCTTTTGCTGTTCGCCACAGAAGACCATAATAATAGCAAAACTCCAGGACGCGTTGGCCATTTTCGTTCATCTTCCCAATGCCAAAGCAGCTTAGACAAGTAGGCCAAGAACTGTCATCAGCACCAACTCTGGCATTAAAGTCTCTCTCCCTAGACATTGAGCTGCATTGGCAAAACAGCTACCATTTTCTCTAGACTCACAAACAGAATATGGCTTTAAAGAAAAGCTGACGGTATATACCAAGCTACAGGTCTATAGAGCCTGTGTCCTGAGCACACTCCTGTACTGCAGTGAGTCCTGGACCCTTTGTGCACGGCAGGAGAGGAAGCTGAACACGTTCCATATGCATTGTCTCCGACGCATTTTGGTATCACCTGGCAGGACAAAGTTCCAAATAGAGTAGTCCTAGAATGAGCTGGAATTTTTAGCATGTACACATTAGTGAAACAATGACGTCTACATTGGCTTGGGCATGTCATGAGAATGGCTAATGGCTGGATTGTAAATAATCTCCTGTATGGAGAATTAGTGCAGGGAAATCCTCCCAGAGGGAGACCACAGCTGTGATACAAGGATATCTGCAAGCGGGATCTGAAGGCCTTAGGAATGGACCTCAACAGATGGGAAACCTTGACATCTGAGTGTTCAGCTTGGAAGCAGGCAGTGCATCATGGCCTCTCACATTTTGAATCCAAGGCCACTTTTTTTTCTGCTGAAGTTGGTTCACTGTCCAACTCTTCCAAGACAAGCAGGCACTCAATGTTATTTAGTGCCTCTTTGGTTACTACATTCTCTAGATTTCTTCTGTATTGGACCTAAGACCTGCTTCATACCATCATACATTCCTTTGATGTTACCTGTGTCCGCTGCTATCTGTATTTGAGAGCAGAGCTGAAGCCAATAATCATTGAAGCATCTCCTGGCAGCCTGTTTGACTTGGCTACGAGCAGCTCGAAGAGCTTGCAAGTTGTACTCGCTAGGACAGGCTTTGTATGCTGCTAGAGCTGTTCTCTTATCCTCAATGGTTGACATCAAATCCTCCGAATGGGCTTCGAACCAGTCAGCCATCTTTTTGGTCTTCTTGCCAAAGGTGGACAGGGCAGTGTTATACACAGCGTTCTTGAAATGTTCCCATCGTTCGGGTGCATTTACATTAGCTGGATCTGGAAGGATTTCCTCAAGTGCCTGGGCAAATTCCTTCACTTTTCTTTGATCGTGAGTCTTGCTGATGTCAATACGTGGTCTTCCTTCCTTCCTTTTTCATGTGATACAATCCATTCGCAGTTTTAGTCTGCTACACACCAGGGAGTGATCAGTATCACAATCAGTGCCCTGATACCTGTGTGTGATCGTACTACTAGGAAGGCTAGAGCATCTAGTGAGGATGAAATCAAACTGATGTCAATGCTTTGATCTTGGGTCTCTCCAAGAGACTCTGTGTTGAAACTTCGTATTAAAGAACATGTTGCTGACACAAAATTCCAGCAAGCGTTGGCCATTTTCGTTCATCTTCCCAATGCCGAAGCAACCTAGACAATTCGGTCAAGAATTGTGATCAGCACCAACTCTAGCGTTAAAGTCTCCAAGAATAAACAGCGTCTCTCTCTCGGGGTTTGTTTTTTTTTAAATAGTAGCTGCTAGATCATCATAGAATTTGTCTTTGACTTCTGTTGTGAACGACAGTGTTGGTGCATATGCACTAATGAAGGTGACCGGTTTTGCTGAGTGGAGCTGTAGAGACAAGATTCTTTCATTCCCCACAGTAGGCGGAACAATGGATCTCTGCAGAGTATTTCTAACCACAAAGCGAACACCATATTCCCTGGTCTCATTCAATGGTTTTCCCTGCCAGAGAAATGAGAATTTTTTTTCTTTGACAGATCCCGAGTCTGGCAATCTCATATCTTGCAGGGCAACAATGTCCATCTGCAGTCTACTTAGTTCCATGTCGATGACAGCTGTCTTGTGCACATCGTTTATTTCCTGCAGATTGTCAGAAAAGCCAGGGGTCATTGTCTGAACATTCCAGGTGCCCAACTTTAGGGCAGAAGTTTTCTTATGATTGTTGCATGCTGCAGGGTTATATATCTGCTTGCTGGTTTTCACCCTAAACCCCACGCACCCCGTGGGGTTAACAGACCGTGGCGAGGCAGCACCTTACTGGCTGGGGGCTGTCCAGTTTAAGGCAGGTGGTAGCTACCTAGTGAGGTGCACTGTCAGAGGTGGCCCCTGGCATCATGCTTTACGCCAACCGAGCAAAGACTTATAACTGGTAACTACTACTTCCTGTGTTGTTTCAACGCTGTATGTGAAGCTGGTGTCCTCTCCAGAACACGAAGCCTAAGTAAAATAATATGGAGGATAGGTGTGACCCCAGCACAAAATCCCCCCTCTCCTGCAGCGTTATAAATCTGAGGGTTACTGAGTTAATCCAATGGGAAGGCAAGAACCAATACAAGTGGTTCCAGCAACAATGGGTCATAATGCTAGGTCTGACAAAATAAAATCAGTCATACTTCTTGGAAAACCTACCAACATTAACTATCATGCAAGTTTATGCTCCAACTAGAGATGCTGCAGAAGAAATAGCTTTTATTCAAATGTTCAAGAGGAGGCTTAACACGATGGGCTGATAATCATAGGTGGCTGGAACACAACTTCCAGTCAAAATCTCAAATTCTGCGCAGGTTCAAATAAGAGGAGGCAGTGCTTCAGGTAGCTTAGCCCCAAGTCATTTAGGATGTTGTCAGCAAAACCAGCACCCTGACTTGAACGTGGAAGCCAATACAGTTGAAGACTGGAGATGGTCTATAAACCAGCAGTCCCCAACCTTTTTAGCCCTGCGGATTGGCTGGGGAAAGTGGGGCATCCCCCTGCGCTCATGTGCATGTGCGAAGGTACACGTGTGCGCTTGTGCACATGTGTGAAGGGTGGTGCAGCACTCATGCAGGCACGTGGGCACTTGTGCATATGCACAAAGGGTGGCGCAGCACTCATGCGGGTGTGCGGGTGCCTATGCACATACATAAAGGACGGTGCAGCACTTGTGCTGCCACATGCATGGACGCAGGCGCAAACAGGCTGTGGGGGGGAGTGTGTGCAGGGGTGGAGGGAGATCTCCGCAGCCCAGTAGGGCTCAGGCCATGGACCGGCCATGGGCCTCAGACTGGGGGTTGGGGACCTCTGCTCTAAAGCATAAATCAGTCTGTCAGCTGTATTTTGCAGCAGCTGTGGCTTCTGATCATCTTTCCTTTTTTCTCTAAGATGGCGCCGATGGCGGGCGGGTAGCGATTTTACCACCGCTGCCCCGGCTTGCTCCCCCCATTTCTTCTCACTCTTTCACACTTTTTCAGTTATTTTTCGCTTCTCATTTATTCTGTTTCCTCCCCTCTGGACTGCCTTTCGCCCTACCTGACCTGTGGCGCTGTGTGTGTGCACAGGAGAGCTTTGAATTCCCGGCTGCTGCGAGTTGGAGTGAACAGAGGAGCAGGAGCGGAAGGAACCCAACGGAGCCGGAGCTCAGAATGCGGGGGTCGACTGAAGGCTGCTCGGACATCTTATAGAATTCTTTAATTGTGTAAAAATTCCTTTTTATCTATATATTGTTCTCGTATCTTGTATTTTGTGTTGTAAGCCGCCTAGAGTGGTCGTAATGACCAGATAGGCGGAGTATAAATGGAATAAATAAAATAAATTTTTCAATGGTAATTCCATATAGAGTGTGCAATGGTAATCTAATTGGGATGTAATTAAGGCATAGATTACTGTTTCCAAATCCACCTCCCCTAGAGCAGGTGAATCTATGTAAAGGCACTCTTGTTGCAGCTGCCATGTGATCCAGTTGGTCCATAGTCCATCAGACAATGTTTACAAAAGCAACTCCAAGCTGTACATTTACTTATTCAGAGGGAGCACAATCCTTTTAATGACAAGTTGTAACCCCCATCCAAGGCTCGCTAAGTTTCTCTATCTACCTCCAGAGTTTAATTACACCAGATCTGTGATTTGGAACTTACGCTGCCTTCTTCATAAGTTCCAAATCACAGCCTACAGCTTTCAGGACAAATTATTTTGGTAACCTTACCTACAGATTGCTGGTGGTGCCCCATTGAAACACTTGTCAGATCTGCCCCTGCTGAGCTTCCAAAAGGAGACAAGATGTGGTGTGCTCAGAGGGAGTAAGGTTGGAGCAGATTGTGTTGGGAGAAAAGCACAAGTTCACCCTTAATTGGTCCTTTTTCTGTTCTACCTGGATGAATAAATTAAAGAGTGATGTAAGGCTAATATATATACTGTACTCTGCTATGTAAAGGTTTCTTCTAGGGCCCCCAAAGAGTGACCAACTAATGCTTGGAATCAATCTAATAAAGAGGGTAGGTGTGTCACATTTGCATGGCCCAACTGAAGCCAAGAAACATAGACATTGGTCTTTCACAGGCTTCTAACAGGTTGTAGCACCAGGTTGTGGTGCCAGGGGTGAGAGCTTGAACCCCTGCCATGCTTCCCAGGAGAGGGGTCAACTACGATCACCTGCTCCCTGTGCAGCCTTGAGTGCCATCAAAAGGGGAGAGAACCATCTGGAAAACCCTGTAAGGGTCAGTACAATTCAGAATCAACTTTATGGCACACAATTAAATTAATGTAAAATGTCTTACTGATGAAACTTCACAAGGCCTGGCAATCCCAAACTTTGGGATTGAGATTTTGGCCCATTCTTTTCTTACAGTGTGGAGGTACTTTGGATCTTTGAAATAATTGTTTTCTTTGCAATGCCCAAGAAGCTTTCCCTGCCAGTAGGCCTGTAGCAGGGGCTTGTCCCTATGTTCAGTTCAGAGCAGCATGAACATTGCATGCAAAAATTCTCATGTTCTGTCTCTGGTATTTCCATGTAGGTCTGGAAAATGGCTCTGTCTAAAATGCTGGAGAGCCAAGGCTGTTGATGGTTATATGGTGATGATTATATGTCAATTTCTTACATTGCTTTGAACGGTATGTAAATTTGCCTCATATCTGCAATCTTCTGCCTCATGCAAGAAACGGAAGCCTTCTTAATGGTTAAAAAATGGTTTCAATGTCCCCCAGGCACTCAGAGGTGGAGGTAGCCTGGGCAGGAATAGCTAGGAGGAGGATAGTACTGTATTCAAAAGGATCAATCTCAATTAAAAATAATTACAATTATTGAACATCAGAGTGAAAATTTGATATTTCCAAGAGTGGCCTTTTAAAAAGCTACTCGAGATCCTTCATTAAGGAAAAATGGCCATTTGTAAAATGACACTATAGTACATTTCCAGTATAAATCCAAAAAGTAAATAAATAAAGCTACGTGCACACAATGTTGTGCTTTTAAATATATATACTGTATATATATTTAGGTTATATAGGTTATATATATATATAAGGTTTCCCCACATAGGTATCAACCTAATATGGGAAAACAATCTGGCTTTCTCCCGATGGCCTGGAATACATTTCTTCTTAGTTGGCAGATGATATTTCCCATCCAGTCCAGCTCCATAGGGGGAACTGAGAGATCATCGCACCCTAGACCCATTCCCTCCAAAGCTTATACCACCCTCACACCTTTCGTCCTCAATATATCCTTCTCATGGGCTTTCCAACGACTTTTTTCTGCGTTCACGGTCAAGCCAGCAAGTGGAGGTAACACCCAACCCAACCCCGACTTTGTTTTTTTTTTTTTTAATCCAACCCGCTCTCCCGCGTCCCAAGGAAACAGAAAGGGAGGGTGGGGGGAAAAGCGCGCGAGAGAGATTGATTGAGAGAGAACCAAGGGATAGTTAAGAGACGGAAAGTGCTTGAAGGCACGCGCAGGC